GGGGAGTTGGATTTTACTTTAATTATTATCGTGCTGTTGATACGCTCAAATAAACTTCCCTCTCTCAACTGCTCCAAAGTGCTCCCTCGCGACACCCGGCTGTCCGTGAGTCGGACAGTGTCTTTGGACAAACCCATGATAGCTATAAGTGCCTACTGGGAAAATCGTTCTTGCATATGCAACCTGATTACTTAATGAAAAAGCTGTGGTTGTGTTCTGAATGGTTGATGTAGTCGTAATATGTTTTGGCAAGCTGTATTCGCTCCTGAAAACTGGATACATCGAGCATCAATGCGCAACAAGCGTAGAACGACAACGCTATCGCCCAACACACGCAAAGATGAGAACCTCGAGCAGTAAGAACATGCTGTCCATTAACCGCTACACTTCCAGTATTTAAGAGTAAATGCAATCAGGTATCCGAGAATCAGAACAGCTTACTAGCTTATGTTACCCAGCTTCATAACACCGAACACCGAAAAGACTAATTATGGTAAGGTACGTTCTACGATCGAATTGTAAGCAATCTCGCAACGATTGAATTGGTATTTGTACAGGGTCTGCATGATAGTCTTTAGACAATCTACCAATCCGACTGAATGGATGGGATCACCAGAATGGTTGGAATACTCCGTCCTGGTCGGATGTCTGGAAGCTGTATGGTGGGGCATGCGCAGTGCAGGTCGACCTCCATGCACGATGATCACTAATCTGTGCCCTTAATCACATTGTGCATTGAATTCACTTGCCGTTAAGTAACCGACTACTAGCTCCACGGAAAAGTTCATCCAGCATTTTTTAAGCGTGGGGTGGGGGGAATTAAGCCCCATTCCAACACAGGCAAATGCTAAAAGCTAACGGTAACAATGTTGTTCAGAAGTGGACCGTGTTTACACTCGTCAAGAATAATTTTGAGAGTATTTGCAATGTTGTGTCGTGCAGAGATCGCTTACCAAGAGAGAACCTACCACGATCTTAGACCTCATTGTTGACAGTAGTCACTTCTTTTGTGAAATAATAACCACACACTCATGGTTAATCAACCAATTGACCATTCTTTTATCCGTAACAAGGAGACGAACTAAGTGGTGCAAAAAGATGACTGGCCGGCCATCAATTCTAAAGCATTAATCCGTAGGAATCCTGTGGTGCGCAAAATTGTTCAAACATAGGGGCGTGCAGTACTGTGCGAAGATGCATAGCAGTGTTCTACTGGCAAAATTTGTTTTCCTCCCAAAAAGCACCCGAAAGTAGAGTACAATTTTACCGCTTGATCCCGCTGCTGATAGATTTTTCTGTATGTTGTCTTTAAAGAAACCTAAAACCGCGTGGAACAATTGGTAAACTTAGTTTGCCATTCGCTTTGTGTCACGCAAATTGCTTCCTGGGCGTTTCCGGCTATTTGACCTCTCAACGTGGAACGAACGGATTCCTGACCAATCAGGTGAGTGGCATACGAAAATAATTGCGTGGTTTGCCAGGCTCTGTCTCTGTTGTGCAACTGTACCCCAGGGGTTCGCACAAACTGATCAGTTACCTGTCTTTCTCCAGAAACCCACAATGATACTTTTCAGCACACGCAAAGTCCATCTCTTAGAGCTTTGCTGATGAAACCGTCAACTAAAAGTATGAACAGTCTATTGGATATTAGTAGATTTGACTTCTGAAAATTAGAGATCAAACAAATTAAAAACAGGAACTCAGTATGTACATTTCTTACGAATCACTAATACACTCGAGCAATGGGAAATTACCTTCTATCAAGTAGCAAAATGAACTCGGAAATGAAATTAGGCGAACCACTCTTTTAATCACCTGGTGCTGAGACCCACACACTTCATTTGCCCTTTGTGTTGAAGGAGTTTTCGATTATCTAGGTGAATGATAACAGACTAGTTTTTTTGTTTGTTTGCCTCCGTGTTAACCCGGTTAAGCTTGTCAGGTGCACCTGTAATCCTAAATAAAAATAACGTTTTTGTAACCAGAAAGCTTCAGCTGTTTGAGATGTGCTACGGGGTGCACTAGCTGTCACCGGCGTGCTTTGAACCCTATGGCCCGAGGTTCGAGCCCCACCTCCGCCACCCGACTTTGGTGGTAGGCAGCTTTGCTGTCGTTTGGTTCAATACCACGACTAACTTAGAGGGGCCTTATGTGGTTCGCCACTCCAAGTACCGGGGCTTAGGTTACCGATTTCCATCATTGGAAAACAGGTTATCGTGACTATGGGGCTCTTCCCGTTTGCTGTTCATCGCACTCAGATGTGTAATAAAAAGAACCAAACAACGAGCAATGTACACTCATACACAGGAGTCATATGAACATTATTGTGAACAGAAAAATATGCCAATATGAAGCTAACACTACGATAAAGAAGCAGAAACACCGCGAGGATATCTTATTAGAAATATCAGGTAGACGTACCTCAAACAGTGCTTTCAAATCAATCCTATTCAACATATCGCCGGGAACCGGCAATCGTTTCCGTTTACACTCATTCCAGAGACATTGACTTATGTCCCAGTCTAAAGAACATATAGGGATTGACAGTGGAACATTTTCGTACCAGTCCAAGTGACAAATATAGCACTACACGTGCCTTGTGGTCGGAAACAACAGCCAAATTGTTGCTTCTTCGATTTGAGCCATTTGTCAAATTCCGTCAGTACCACATGTAGTTCCGCGGAACGGATCACATCACGCTGCAAAATGATGTCAGACTCCAAAGTGCTCTCAATCCACCTGTTCGATTCCTGTAAGATTCGTACAGAATGCACTGAGTTCGGGATTTTCGGTGGGCCGCACATAGCGGTGAAATGTATCCACTATTTTGCCTTTCGATGCATCTAAAATAACGACCGGGAACTCGACTACAAAGAGTTCAGCAATTGTAAACCAGCCTAATTGTAGTTGTTACTGATTTCAGCTGTATCGTTTCCTTTTCGCTCGAAGCAAGTTGACTCGAAGTCCAAAACGAAGTACCAGCGAACAGCTGTACAGAAAACGGTTTATGCACGAAGTTGAAAATGCCAAGGCTTACTATTGGAGAATAAGATCGTCTGTTCAGGTAGTTTCATTTGGTAGATCGCTTGGCATTTGCTATGTTAAATTTAGAGTGACAAAAAAGCCAAATTGTACCGTGCTTCTCGCAAAGTATTCTCCATAATGTGAGATTTGTTTCACCGATAGATGTCCTGAAATCAGATAGAAAAGTGATTTATATTCATTCTTATCGGAAAATGAGAAAATCACAATTTTCCAACAGTCTTTAATAACCGAATCATATGCTGTGTATAACACACATCTTGGTTTATAAAAAACCATACGCACCACGGCAAACGCATTTTTATTATACGAAGTGTATGCAATGAGGGCTTCTACTATAACTCAACGACTTCCTCATTGTGTTATGTTTGCGCAAGCAGACACTAACTGGAAGCGGCGACAAGGTGGACAATGAATAACCTGGGCTCGAACCATGAAGGCACTAACCTCAAAACTGGCAGTGGTAGGGCGCTCTAGACTCCCAGGTTGGGGGCCCAGGGACAGAGAACATCTATGGCTTGATACGCTTGCAGACATGGCTGGTAACCGGCGTCAATGGCGCACCTGTTGCGAGACTCTAATCCGTTGATTTACATTTAAACCGTATTTTCATCTCTTCCTACATATGTTGTGGCACATCTGCAACTCTATGACTACATGTTAAGTGTATATATATNTATATAACTCAAAAAAGTAACACTACCCCACCAGAAAGCCTTATTTGATTTTTCAATCCAAGCTTTAGGAGCGGGTTTCAGGTTTACCCTCACTATACAATAGAGAATGCACAATCAGAAGAAATATCGCAATCAAACTCAAAAGCCACAGGTCGTGTTCACAAATATTCGCGGTCTTGATAGGATTGAGTTAGTAACCAGATATCCACCGATCCCGTGGATTTGTCTAATATGGTCGTCATCACACCGTTTGGCCAA